AAAATAAAATTTCTTACATTTAGCTAATACAATTACAAAAAACTAATATCTGAAATCTTGCTTGCTTTCCAGTCGAGGATGCTTTTTACGAGATTGTAGTGTTGCAGTCATAACTCCATCGCGATTTCGCTCTAATACGCGTTTTGATACGTTAGCCAGTAATTGAACATGTCTCTCAGTTCCCTGAATGTGGACGGGAATTTTAGGGTCACTCCATGGGCACTCATTGCTTTGTAGATATTGTACTAGATGTTCATGAGGTATATTTAGCGTGAAGGCTGGTTCGAATATATTTGAATAATCGTCCATATCTATCATATTAGTATAGTCGGTGCATTCGAAATTTATTTCGGGTGTTTTGTAATCTCTCAATTGCGTCAGGTCTTCCACATTATTACGGTAATATAAGATTTTTCTTATAGCTGAATCTCGTATTTCCTTTTTATTATCGAACAACATTGCTAATAAAATATTTTCCGAGTGAGCATAGTACGCGTTTTCTTTAGCAACATTGTTCACAATTTGTCTTAAATTCGAGTCTAAATATTGCGTCCAGCTAATAAATTTATAAAATAATATACTACCGTACACCACAGAGTTGTAATATTTAATGTTAAAGTACATTGGAATATATACTTTCATCACGTAGTTTGCCAGAATTTTCAAATTTTTGGATGGCTTATTAGTAGTTACATATAACCGAAGTAACCTACTAGCCTTTGTGAGCCATCGGGAATGTGCTATTGGCCCCGGTTTCTTGTTAGCTAAGTCTGTCGATACTTCTCCAGAAGCAACTGCTTTAGCTATTTTTATTAAATAACTTGAGTCAGTTGTCGATTCAACAGGACTTAAATCAGCCAAATTTTCAAGTTGGATCGTTTCAAAGTCTGTTACCGGCTGGAAGTAAATAAGAAAAAATTAATTATATTGAATTTGAACATAAAGTATTAACAAATAGTAAATATGTTATAACTCACCGGTATATTTTCGCATGTTTCAATTTGTTTGCTTAATATTCCGGTTTTTGTTCGTGGTCCAGTGGTCAATGATTTTTCCAAATAGTTAAATAAATGCCGAAGTGGAAGTTCGTTAAAGTGGAGAAGACACACAAACCAATGAAGAGGCCTATTTAACTGAATTTCAAATCGACGTAGAATCCCATTTTTTACGCCTGTATTTGCTGGTTCACCATCGCAACATATGCCTATCAAAGAATCGAGAGCTATTCCTTTATCGGCGAAAAACTCGTTCAATTTGATTACTTTACTTTCCGAATCTTCATTTTCCAATTTTGTGTAACCCAACAATTGGCAATTCGGTTCCTTTAAAATAACTAAATGCGCTTCTTTAATCATTCGTGGGTGAAACTTCTTATCGATTTTTTCCATGGTAATAGAATCATTTTTTCGGCCGTCGAATGAAAATGCTATTAATTCAGAAGAATCATATCGTTTGAGTAGAGCTTGCCTATTTTTCTGCCTCTCACGAACGCTTTTATTTTTATCCATAATGACAGGATTGCCCCAATCATCCTTTATGTCCAGGTCTTTCAGGATTGCTGTCACCACGGCAGAACCAACTCTATCAGAGATTGCAAATCTGTCGCATATTAAGGCATAGTTTGGAGCTTTGTATCTTCGACTATATGGTCCACGTTTTATATGAGAAGTATTTTGTGAACTTTTCAAACTGCTTTTAAACTCAAAACCAACATCAGGAGTATATGTCTCACCTGGAGTAATATCGCTAGTTATTGTAGATGCTGATACTTTATCTTCAATTTTTATAATATATTCTGGTATCGTAGATTTCCTCTCATTATGTTGATCCATCATAAACGCTTGTAAGTGTGCTGGGATCAGTCCGCAGGAACACAGTATTCTTCGCAAATCGCATTTGCATTTTCCAATATAAAATAATTCTTTCGTGGATTCTACAAACTCCTGAAATGATGCTTGGGTAGACTTGCTTTTATTTGTACTTTTATATTTATCAATCAATCGGTTCAATTTTCTAGCGATACTTCGTTTCTCCATAATTGGAATATCAATTTTTTCCCACGTCTGAATCAATTTCGTTACCACATTTGGAGTAAATGTTTTATATGAAAACATTTTATTTTGTTTTTTTGATTCTTCGGCCAAATAAAAATAATACCTGATAATTTCCATACTTGTCGGAAGATTTATTCCAGTAAATTCTTTTGCTTCCCCAAATGTAATTTGATCATGCGAGCGCATATGATTCAAATTACTGGCACTTGCGCCTGAATTTAAATAAGAATTCGCCATTGATACTTCACGTCTAACTGGAGAACTGAATGAAGATTAATGCGAGTTTTTCACATTAATATATTCTTTTCGAAACTTCGAGAATTATAATAAAAAAATACTAGCGCACTCTGATGGAAATAAATAACAACAAACTAAACCCGATTTAAAAACCCCCGTACAAACTATCAATTAAAATATAAGTCACAATTTGAATTATTCACATGCCTAAATTAATATATTAACTTATTAAAAACAGTATTTTATTGAAAATTTCGCTGGCTAAAGAGTTATTTGCGATATATGGTTTTGAAGTCAAAATTCATTTAAATAACACATATATTTCATATGAAAAGGTGCCCATATCGCTTAATTTTACTACAATAATGATTCGGCCCAACCTAATATATATATATATATAGAAGACATCATATTATTAACATAATTAATATAATATTTAATAAATATTTATAATATTTATTAAATTTAAGTTTGTTATTATTATAATTATTACATTTATGATAATATTTAATAAATATTAGTAATACTTTCCGAAGAAGTTTATGTTTTTGCGAAAATATCCGATTTCCGAATTTTATGTTTCCTCGACATTTCAAGTCATTCTGAATCGTATAACACCAAATTTGAGACAAGTATGTGTGTGTATGTATGTGAGCCGAATTTTCGTCAACGTTTACTCAAGAACGGCTGCACCGATTTCTCAAATTTAAAAGCCAGAGGACTGAGGATCGTTAGTATGTTTCGCGGGACGATCGGCCAAGCCACTTCTTTGTGATTAGTGGAAAAGTGTAATGTTTTTAAAATCGGTTTAACAATTCAAAAACCGTTTAAAAATATTAATTGATTCGTTCGAAAAAAATCGCGTTGACTAGAATTTGGTAAAGATCGTTTTCTAATTAAATATTGATATTTTTTGTCGATTTTGATGAAACTTTATATAACGATAGATATAGTAGTCTGAAATATTTTACTAAAATATTATAGGCATACGATCAGCGGTTAAATTATAAAAAATCATCAAAGCTTACAATTTCGCCGCGCGTTTAAGCGATTCTAATCAGAATCAATGCGGAAGCATCTGTGTGATGTTTCGTAGGTAGCTACTGATTACAGTATACGTTCACACTTAATATAATACACTTTTAGATTCCTAAATAAATGAAATGAAATATGGTAAATTAATTAATTAATTTTATACAATTACATATATTATAAGTATTTTTAAAAGACATCAATTAGAAATCGTACTGATTATTTTTTTTAGTGAAAACGTAAATGTTATTTTTGAAATAAAAATTTGAATGTTTTATCTAAATTGCTTAATCTCAATTCTTATCTATTATGTCTATATATCGAGAATTCCATGCAACTTTAAGGCAAAATGCTACTTACAACTAGTTGGAATGATTCGATGGTATATATTTATTTTATTTTCAATCATTACTAAATACATACATACAACAAATGACATGCATTGCTTATATCATATTGTAGATATAAATGTTATTTTTTTGACAATAAAAACTTTATTAAAGTTTTATAATACAAAATTGTTGAGGTTTATAAATGTTGTTAATGGCAACAATAATTTTTGTGGTATAAATTATCTAAATAATGTTAAATTTTACTGTCTTCTTTATTTTAAGAAATTTCTTTATGTGTCTACAAATATAACTAGTCGGATATTGAATTTTGCTTTAAGGCAATTTGCAATAACCAATCTAATCAATAAGAATTGATATTAAGCTATTTATGTAAAATGTTCAACAATTTATTTCGATAATAAAATTTTCGTTTTCACAAAAAATAATCAACACGATTTCCAATTACAAATTAAATTAATTTGTTTCATTTCACGTTTCATTTCATTTTCGTGTTTTAAAAATGTTTCATACTGTTTTTAGATCCACTGATGATGGCATTGAATTGAATGTCGAAACGTTTGGAATTAAAGATTATTTTATAAATCTTTGCCTTTTCTTTGTTTGATGTATCGCCCTCAAGAACTCACTCATATATATATATATATATATATATATATATATATATATATATATATATATATATATAAATATTTATTTATTTATTATATATATGATAAAATTGTTCTTGGGCATCCATCCAGTAATTACAAAGAGTTTTATTGAAAAAAAAATGTTTTTATTAAGAAAACATTCGTTTCGGATCCTGATTTGACCCATCTTCAGTGCATACAAATAAATTGAAAAATAAAACACAAAACCACACGAAAATTGCACGAAAAAATTATGAAACACGAATTGATAAACGTCGAGTTATGATAAATTTTAAATAATTGTAAAATAAAAATAAATAATATAATTTATTATAAAAAAAGCTTAATCAAAACGAAGCATGTTGTCAGCTTGGAGTTTATGTATATATAAATATATATTTAGGTATATAGTATAGTAACAAATTCCAAAATGATGAGTATTTCTAAACGATTTGGTATATTAGTGATCATATATGGATTTATCGCACGGTACCTACCTTTTGTCCTTTTGTCGAGATTCTAATTATTTAAATAAATCAATTATCACCTTAATGACTAGAAAACACTGGTAAATGATTTTCAAATTTCATTATAATTTACCATTTTAGCATTTACAAACAAGAATCATTGGACACCAAAAAATGTTTTGGCGAGGATAATAACACTGATTTTCCGAATATGATGGACCATAAGAAATGTCACTAAACAACAGCGCCATGAAATCGCTAGATAGCTCGCAGGAAATACCTAGTACTAAATCAAATAATGAAATCAGCCAAGTTGAACCAAAGATGTTTGGAAATACCATAAATAAAAAGAAGTGCCTTAGTAATGTTAAGTCAAATTGCTCCGCATTCAATACCAAAAAGAAACATTCATCCACTTCCAAAAACCAAGTAAGTCTATTAATCAAAACAAAGAAAATCGAGTTCACAAAAATGCATGTCCTTCAAAGAAAGAACGATCGAGCAAAAAGCTGAAGGAACTTTTTGGAGACGACCGGGAAGCTGTAAAACGTGATAAAACTGGGATACAAGAAATAGATACAGAATTTAAAAATGACGGTTTCAAAAAAGTTAGATCGAGACATAAGCGAAAGTCGGAAGAATTTTTGAAATTTGGAAGCGTCAAAAAAGTAAGAGTGATCCATCAGGGGAATCTATTATAAAAGCTCTAGCAGAGAATGAAAATATTATTTCAAACCAGGTAGTATTGCCTAAAAATATCTTTGTCAAAAATGTGCGTGAAATAGATATTTTTAAAGATATTGATATTTTAAAGACGAATAATGACCTTGTACCCAATAAGAAAAAGAAAAATCAACGTAAGCGGGTTAAAAATAAGGAAAGGAATTTTCAGCAGAATATTAATAATAACAATAAAATTGGTCAGCTCACAGCACAAGACGAAACTCAAATTTTACCTAATCAACATTCTGAAGAAGCGAAGTCCGATCATGGGATGGATAATGCTAATTATAATACTAATGAAGCCAGTAAGTTTGATACCGATGCCATTCAAATTTTAAATGTTTTCTCGGTCAGTCAAGGCGAGAATGTTGACACAAATAAAAAGACAAATTTAGAAACTTCAGAACCAGCCAATTTAACGCAGCCTATAGGCCTGAGTATGCCGATTTTAGACGAAACAATAGAGTGGCAATTAGCCAAAATTCACCATTACCAAAATTGTGAATGCTTCTTCATTAAGTGAAGATAATAGTATTACATCGAATGAAGAACAAGAAACGACTCGTAATTCAAAATTGGATATAAACAGGAATGAAGAAATTACTATTGACTCTAATTTATCTAGTGATAAGAATAGTAGAAGTGAACCAAAGAGGCCAGTAACAATAATAATAAAAGCTTGCAGGAAAATTGTCAACAGATCTTAAACTATGCCAAACAAATAATAAAAAAATTGTCTGATAAAGAAATTGGAGGAAAATAGTATTATGGTATAAAGTCGCTGCGATAATCTACCTGCAGATAACTTTAGTAAGGATTTACTTATTTCTACTAGTCAAACACAGAAATCTCACAAAGATGATCAAACTTTACTCATCAGCAGTGATATACAACAAACAATAAATGGAGACGTTCCAAAGATTATACCAAAGTTTAATATTACTATAGAAAGAAGTGATAATGAAACGGTGTGAAAGTTCTGCTAATATAACAATATCATTTGCAGAAAGCCAAAATGCCAGTACTCCCTAAGAAAAAATGATTTGGAAAATAAAGTGAAAAATATGCCAGTGTCAGCTAGTTCCATAACGAATTTATCGGATCAAGAAGCATCAATTTCTTCGAAGGTAAATTTAGATTACAAGTTAAAAAATACCTATGTGATACCACCGCAAGCAGCTGCTGAAATATTACCAGAATTATTCCAAATAGTCCGCAAAGTAATCAGCAATTATCGCCTGTAAACAATAAAGTTAAAAATATGGCCAGTATTACTTAATTCCAAACCCAATGTATCGCTTAAATCGACGATTCCTCGAAGGTTGATTCAGAATTTCAAGTTAAAAATACCAGCGTGATACCGACGCATAATGCTGCTAAAATATTACCAAAACGTTTTCAAAATAATTCGCAAAATATATTATCCTCTGTAGACAAAAGTACAGCTGAGCAATCTCTGACAATTGTTCCAATATGTCAGTCGAACTCAACACAGAAAATGACAAGATAACAGAATCTTCCAAGCAATTTGAAATACAAGAAAAATCATCGGAGCCGTCAACTTTGCTATTGCCAGCAAGTCAAAATAATTTAGTTTCGCTTCTTTGCCCTCCGAATCCAATAACGATAACTCCATTAAATGACCAATACAAAATGATCAATTTACCAGTTTTTGTGAATGGAACGCAAATAATTCTACAGTCACCAACTGCTTTACAAAGTGAAACTTGTGAAAATTCATCTATCAACCCAGTTATTTCTTCACAGCCTTTTTCTAATTCTTGTGCTTTTGGATTAGTACAATCTGGAATTTCACAGGAGAAAATTGTGCTAACCAAACCTTCTGAGCGTTTAGTCAATACCGCTCCTGACAAGGCCCAACATAAACTACCTGACATACAAGTTAACGAAATTAGGCATTCTTCAGATTCACAAACAAGGATTTTCTCATCAAACAATCAGTTCATAAGATCTTCTGATTCTGTAATAGTGTATTCGAAACCATCCATTAGTTTCAAAATGGACAGAAACGTACTTTACCACAGACTGAGCCAAGGACAACGAGCAGAACACACGAAAAAGCTTTTTCTCCTGCCATTATTTCAAATTCGGAAATGTTAATAATGGATCCACAGCAAGTGTGTGCATACTCAATTTCAGCATTTAGATCAGAACCGACATAACTTTAATATGGTACGTTCTGAGTTTATACTTCACCTCAAACTGCGACAAATATTTATGACAAGAATGCTAATAGCGGTAGCGGCAACATGCCATTTGAACTTCCTGGTGATTTACCATTGGCAGAGACATTGAATCGACCTGGAAAATCAATATCATCAAAGTTTGATGCAATGAATCGTGCGAATTCTTCAAAAGCAGCTTCAAATTTTTCATCGAATGTATCTCCAATGAATATAACTAATAGCTTATCATCTCCTGAACAATCGCATTTTCGAGTGCCATGTCTCGATCTGAAAACACATCGAATGAGACAAACGCGAGTTTTCCAAAAATTCGAGTTAGATCATGGAAAGTATGAATTCACAAGAAGCCGCTGCCGATATAAACTTACCATCGTATAGAAATCGTCATCAAAACTCGATTAATGCCTCAATTGATGATGTCGATTTTCATATGTGTAAAGATGCAACCTTTTTATGTTTTGCCGTTGACATTTCTAATGATATTTTTGTGCAGTGAATAATTATAATAATAGACTATCGTTTATCAATGCTAATGGTATCGATAAATTTCGTTATAGAATTAGTTTATTGGATTACGATGTCTTAAGATTAACAAGAAGAAAACGTTTATTCAATGCTTTAATTATTTGTCGAAAAAATACGCTTATTCGAATGTTACTATACTAAGAAACAAACTGTTTTTAATAAAATATTAGACATAGCAAAAAAAATGTTTGAGGCGAGCGATATAATTAATCACATTGAATCCTTATGTCGAACTTTATTCGTTGAATTATTAAACACGCTTACAAATTCAAAAAATAGTGAAAGTTGTGAACCAGATATTTCTACAATGCAGCTTTCACCGCGAATTCCTTCACTCCCTCCCTCGCAAGAAAAAATTTCAAGAAATAACTGAAATTCAAAAAAACAAAACCAACCTAATGGTAAACCTAAGAAACCTAGAAGGCCTAGTCTTCGGATAAATGATTCAGATAATACAACTGATTTGTCGCATCCAACAGCCTCTTCCCAAAACAAATCATCTTCGGATATTCAATTGTTGAATCAAAATAATGCATCGAAAGAATTACCACATACATGGTCAAGGACAACAAGTACAGGAAATAAAGCATACTTTCAAATGATGTTTGAACAATCTCTGAATGGCAGACGAAATTTGCAACAAACTTCAGTCACAATCGAAAAAGCAGTTACTAATAATATTCTACCAGTTGACAACAGAAATAACTTTTTCCAATGCCACGTATCAATTTCCAACAAACAGCCGAAAATGGTTCACTATTGAATCAATATATGGGGCAGAGTAATGTAACTAACGTTTGCTCAAACATAGCACCCGTATATCGCAAAAATCATTATTATAATAGACCGTATGCTATAATAGTTACCGCCCTCTCTCGTACTTGAATAATCCAATGCAATCTCAGCAGATACCGTATTCTCGAGAACAAAGTAATTTGTTACAATGTAGTAATTTGGCTATGATACGGGCTCAAAATAATTGCAACAATATGAACAATTATAGACCATTTATGAACAGTTTCAATAATATGCACCAAGTTTCTTTTCAAATTGTGCACCGGCGACTAGTGCTACAGCAGGGGTACCACCAATAATCAAATAGTATGTGCAATAACCTTTATCAAAGAAATCAGAATCTGGTTGTCGTTTCGGTCAAGGTGTTCCAAATTACAATAACGTGCAAATGATTTCAAATCCTTTCCAAAACTTGCCGAATAAGTTCTATAATTGAAAATAGTTTCTGTACAAGACCCTACGCAAATGCAGTTTCAACCAGCTCCGGCCATGAACGATAGAATTGGAAATCCATCATTAAATTCTCAAACTTGCGGAGCACAAAATGCCTTCACTTGGACACATTGATTCAACACAAATTTCTTAATAAAATCGCCCTGCAGAAAATAGTGTTGTTGGAACTAATTCATCGCATGTAAACACTGCGAATGGGTCCATGATGCAAATAATCAATCTGAGCAAGATGCACCAATGAATATTACAAATGATCATCCAGAAGTAGCAAAAACGATGGATAAACCATGCCAATCAGTTCATATGGTAGGTGAAAGCGTGTTCCAAAGAAGGGCAAACAACTGAAATAGTCAGTTCTATTTATTATTCACTCCTTTCGCACAAAAAGTATTAGATGCACCATGTCAAGAAATCTCAAGAAGCAAGATCCTGCGCCTATGAATTCTCACCAGGATACTGAGGTAAGTCCATCAATTTTTTAATTATTTGGGAAAAAGTAATTGTTATTAATATTTGTTATTTTTTTT